CCCCCCCCATCCCCTTAATGCTTGCCATACCTAATGATTCTAGTAGAGTATGCCAATGAGGCCGACCAGGAATACAGTAGGATTTTAACCCAGTCAGTGCATCCTGCTCATGGCTTAGATAGAAGCTATCCAGGGCCAGGCGTAGGGTTAGTGTATCAATCTAAACATGATTGGGAGATTTAGAACAAAGGAATTTAATCTTTACCACAAACTTAAATGTCCTATATCTTTGCAATCTTTGCAACATGATGGTGTAAACCTTTGATATTTAGAATACTGGGCTGCAAGTGTATGGGGATCAGAAAATTAGAGTTTGTTGCAAAAAATCAATTTCTGTAAAGAGTATACCTACAAAAGATTGGGCTTGATCGGTCATTGTATTGATGTAAACTGTCCCAAAATCATAATTATTGGAAGTGCCTTATTTTCACAAGTTTGATTTTAAAGCTTATGTTCATAGGGAAATGTATCACACTACCCTATCTCAACTCTAAGGGCAAATCATAGGAGGGGAGAAATACCCCACCCCATCTATATAGACAAAAAGGGTCCAATCGGGATAGGGTTAAGAATGACTTTATTACCGAAATGTGCATTTCTTATTGTTCAACCTGATCGCAGATCGGAGCAGACGTCACATAAAGATGAACAGTAAGGAATCCAGACAGATCATTTTTCTACAAAAATTCTTCTTTTATTTTCACCGAAGAACTACTAGATACTCTATCTTTATTTATATATAAATTTGGCTTGTCTGTTTGGGTGTCTGTTTGTTTGTATCCAATAAACGTCAAAACGGCTTAACCGATCGGGCCCAAATTGTTTGTGGGACATCACGTGACCACAGGGAAAGTTTATGAATGATAAAAATTTTTAAAAAAATGTGTTTTAAAGGTTTTTAATTTTGCAAAGAAATTTAAATTTTAAAAAAATCCGCGAATTTTTTTTTAAATCCGCAAAAAATTTTTCTTCTTTGTTTAAAATGTAAACATAAAGAACATGTTCACAATTTAAATAGAAGATGGGCGCGAAGCGCCATAAAAGCCTAGTTATCCTTATATTTTTTTTCAACCTGATGGATCTTAGATTTAATACTTTTACTATTTTACAATCTGGTATTTTGAAGTGAGTAATCAGTTACCTTGAATAACTATAGTTAACTCATCGAATGGCCAATTAGTTGCCGATTTTAGAATTTCCGTATATTCTAAGCTGAAAACTTTATGGATATCGAGTTCAATACTTAATATATTTTTTTAGCTAATCTGAAGATTAGCTTAGTCTTTCAGAAAGCGTGTAAAATTTAAATAGTTAGAGTGTCATAAAGAGAACAGCCAATCAGAGGCCAGGATATTCTACGGACAAATAATAAGAAAAACTCTCATTGTTTAGAACCCAGCATGGATATCCAAAAGAGAGGTTTACCAAAGATTAAGGGTATCCAATTTAAGTTTTCAGCTCTGTTTAAAATTATACATAATTTTATACTTCTACCTCTAATTGTATGAGAAGAGTCAAAAACCAGTCTAAACTGGAATAATCTCTATTCACCCAGATAAAGTCGATTTTTCTAAACACATTTAGAACAAATGGTTTCATTCTTAATACATACAGTGTGACCCATAAACCTGTGGAAGACGACATTTTACCAATTTATTTGCATTTGACTAAAACAAAGTCGTTTCCACAATTGTATGGGCCCCACTGTTAACATTTACAAACTCTAAAAGATCTATATTGAATAAGTAAAAAATGATAAGTAAAATAGGTTGCACTGAAGGAACTAGTAAACTAGTAAACTAGTAAACTAGTAAATAGTAAACTAGTAAACTAGTAAACTAGTAAACTAGTAAACTAGTAAACTAGTAAACTAGTAAACTAGTAAACTAGTAAACTAGTAAACTAGTAAACTAGTAAACTAGTAAACTAGTAAACTAGTAAACTAGTAAACTAGTAAACTAGTAAACTAGTAAACTAGTAAACTAGTAAACTAGTAAACTAGTAAACTAGTAAACTAGTAAACTAGTAAACTAGTAAACTAGTAAACTATTAAACTAGTATACTAGTAAACTAGTAAACTAGAAAACTAGTAAACTAGTAAACTAGTATACTAGTAAACTAGTATACTAGTAAACTAGTAAACTAGTAAACTAAATATAGTAACATTTCTATGAAGGGGTATTTTTAAACTATCTAATCATGTGCCTAAGTTCTCCCAGGCCTCTGTTCTCTTCATCAAAATCTCCAAAGCAGGATTTTAGTCCATAGGGATGTGCATTATGCCATTGCAGTCTAGGATATTTATATTTACACAAATACTAAAGGATTTTTCAAAATAAAACATTAAACCATGCCTTTTTTTTGTCAAATTTCCAATTGTTTCATAGAAAATCTTAAATAATAAATATCAAAATGTTTTTTAATGAAAATATTTTTGTGTAAAAAAATCAACCTTGCCACCACTGATTGGAGAATGCTTGCAAAGGGAGTTACACCAATTCCTATTAATTAGAAAAAAGAACTACAAACTCGCCTCAAAATCTAATTTTCTAATTTCTATACTTTTGCAACCTGGAATATTATACAACCTCTGATTAGAATTTAATATTTTAAATATCAAAGGTCTACACTACCAACTTGCAAAAATATAGAGATTAGAATAATAGAGTGGCAAGTAGTGTATTCTTAAAGGGACCGTTCACTTACTTGGGTAATTTCAGGGTAAACTAAACAGCCTATTCGCTCTTGATTGGTAATAGTCTTACTTTTCAAAGACAACTGTGGCCGGAGAAAAAGCAGATTTTTCGTTCAGAATTTGAGCGGAAAGGGACGGTCCCTCTCTGTAGACACTATTTGATGTTTTTTTTTCAGTAACAGCAGCCCAATAAAATTTGAATTTATTATATTTTAATGTCATTATGTGTTCGTTATTATGTACTTTTGATATTTGAGTTAGCAAGAAATTTACGTTTTTCGTATTAAAACATGTAATATGTGTTTACAAAGACGACGTCTCTACAACAATCAATTAATCATTACTCGTATTTTGGTTCGTAGATTTTGTAGATTTTTTTCCCGTATGTGCACAACTTTCCATTTGTCATGCCGCGTCCAATTCAGCTTTTTACACAGGCAATACACAATTTTGAATGCGATAAAATAGTGTTATTTTAGAAATAGAAAGTTAAAAACAAAACAAAATTAAAAATAATGACATTTACACTTAACGATTAGATACTACAGTTTAATTTTATATTCGAAATTTATTTTGATTCACAACATGCTGAAAAAAACATCAATTAGTGTCTATAGAAAGGGACCGTCCCTTTGCGCTCGAATTCTGAACGAAAAATCGACTTTTTCTCCGGCCACAGTTGTCTTTGAAAAGTAAGACTATTACTAATCAAGTGCGAATAGGCTGTTTAGTTTACCCTGAAATTACCCAAATAAGTGAACGGTCCCTTTAATAGAAAAAAAGAAATTCAGTTTTTCCATAAACTTTAATTTTCTAATCCTTTTATCTTTGTTTCTTTATGGTGTACGAGAAACCTTAGATTATTTGATATGAAAGAATTTACAGTTGAGTTCCAAAGTTATAGGAATTAGGAAACCAGAGTTTGTGGCAAAATTCAATTTCTGTGATCATCATTGTTTTCAAGAATACCTGTTGCCACCAAAATAGCATGATGGGAGGAGAAAATAGAGCTTGATGGGGCACCATGAGGACCATCTTAAACATGCAAATTATGAAATTTTTCCACAAACAAAATTAAATTGAAAGAATTATCAAATTTTTAAACTTTTTTGAATTTCTGAAGTTAGAAGTTTTGTCTTGTGAATCTCAGGCAAGCACTGATCTCTGTCTTCTGCAGACCTACGGATTCATTCCTCTTGGATATCGTGTGGTGGTCATATCCTACAGGGATAACTTCAATTGTGAGAGAAAGTATTTATTCCCAAATTTAAAAGTGCTCACATTAGATTTCGAGATCAAGTGTTCAAGATTAACAATATTCATAGTAAAGTTCTGACTTCTGAACAAAAAATGTTTGAGTTTATTGGAATTTATTTTTAGTTGTTTTATAACTTTCCTATGTAAACTGTTATAGGATTCTCTTTCAGACCGGCCATTGTTTCGGGTCTGTGTCTTAATTCAGGTATCTCACTGTTTCGTCGGGACAAAGCTGAATCTGAAACCAAACCAAATAATAAATGATTTTCAAACTTTCAAAAATGTTTTTATGTTTACAGAGTGGCATGTCCAATACTCAACGGTACCCTTACAATTTTGTTTCTAATAACAATTTACGAGATATCGATGTTTTAATATCTGTGGTTTATTCTGACTAATTCCTCCACTGCCTTTGTACCATGTGTCCGCAAATGACCTTCACTAACCCGTAATTAAAAATATATCACTTTTTTTCAGAAAACAAGGATATCTCATCAATGTTATTACCACTAATGTTAAAGGAGTGTCGTTTATATCCGGACATGCATAACTGTATCCGGACATGCATAACTCTAAATCCGGACATATATAACTCTATATCTGGACATGCATAACTCTATAACCGGACATGCATAACTCTATATCCGGACATGCATAACTCTATATCCGGACACGTATAACTCTATATCAGGACATGCATAACTCTATATCCGGACATGCATAACTCTAGATCCGGACATACATAACTCTATATCCGGACATGCATAACTCTATATCCGGACATACATAACTATATATCCGGACATGCATAACTCTATATCCGGACATGCATAACTCTATATCCGGACATACATAACTATATATCCGGACATGCATAAATCTATATCCGGACATGCATAACTTTTTATCCGGACATGCATAACTCTATATCCGGACATGCATAACTCTATATCCGGATATGCATAACTCTATATCCGGACATGCATAAATCTATATCCGGACATGCATAAATCTATATCCGGACATGCATAACACGTGGATTTAACGGTTCTGTCAATACTCCAGTAAGCTATGCTTTTCGATCAAAATTTGATCAATTTAATATAATTTGTTTGCAATTTTTTCTTAGAACTTTTTTTCGGCATATGCATTTTGAATGAAAAAGTATGGAACAAACAAATCCGTAAGTTAAAAGATTGTTGAATTATAGATCAAAGCACGTTTGATTTCAATTAGAAGAAACCAAATACTGCTCACTCTGGTTAGTTCGGGGTGATACCTCTATATCCGGACATGCATAACAATATATCTGGACATGCATAACTCTATATCCGGACTTGTATAACTCTATATCCGGACATGCATAACTCTATATCCGGACATGCATAACTCTATATCCGGACATGCATTATTCTATATCCGGACATGTATAACTCTACATCCGGACATTTATAACTCTACATCCGGACATGCATAACTCTTTATCCGGACATGCATAACTATATATCCGGACATGCATATCTCCATATCCGGACATGCATAACTATATATCCGGAAATGCATAACTCTATATCCGGACATGCATAAAACTATATATCCGGACATGCATAACTCTATATTCGGACATGCATAACTCTATATCCGGACATGCATAACTCTATATCCAGGCATGCATAACTCTTTAAATTGATCTTTTCACTCGAAATTACGCCTTATTGAGGAGCACGGTGGATCTACTATTTCTCATAAATAGATTGGCAAGTTACTTTTATTTCAAGCTAATGTGTCTGTTGACTGGCTAACACCAATAGCTAGCCTAGTGTCCGCCTAGCCTATTTGAATTATCTTCATGACGCGACAATTACTGCCATATAAGAATGTTAGTGATTATGAAAGTTCTACTAATTTCGTACCGGTCCCTGTCCAGACCTGGGCTTAGTTCTGTGCACCGTGATTGTCAATATATTTCAATATTTTCGACGTATTGGCCTGGCTTTTTATCGAGAACAGTCCCATTAATGTTCTACCTGATATAAAAGTATTGAGTTTGTCCTGATTCAGTCTTCTTGGAGGTAGTTTATTTTCTTTGTTTGCCAGCTTAAGCAGACCGTTCGTCCAACCTCCTGATAAATACAACACTTTTGATTAAAGGGACTGTAAGCGTAATTTCAAATGACCTTCCATGCATAGATGTTAATGCCAGATTAACAGCGGTACCCTGAACACCCTTATCTATCAATAATATGTAAGATATTCTCGTTTTTCTTAACTTAAAAAGTAAAAATGCCCAAGTTATTTTAGTAGAGAAACCACCATTCAAAATAACATTGATATCTGATACATACTAGATCAGACAAAGCTTTTAAGGGAAGTGTTCGGTATCGGGGATCTCCACCCTTGGGTTGGTATGTGGGGTCAATTCAAATTACGCTTTCCGTCCCTTTAAGATAGAGTTAAGCTTTGTATATAATATGTTTAATGCAAATTCTCATCTGATTGGTCGATTTAAACCTCTCATTCATAGATTAAACAATAATAACAGATAGAACACTAGATGTCGCCTTTTCAAGATTTAGGTTTTTCGTTACACAATACCCCTGAGACAGAAGCCCAAAAGAGTTACGCGTATGCGGCTTAGAACATGCGTAGAGCATGCGCGTAACTCCTTTTGACTTCTGCCTTAGGAACATTGTGAACGAAAAACACTTAAATCTTGAGAAGACGACATCTAGTGCTCTTTCTGTTATTGTAAATTAATCTATGCTCTCATTGGCCAAAACGGACCAATGATAAAAGGGTTAGAGAAATAAGTTAAATGGACCGCGTTGGCGTAATTTTTAAGGAATTCTTTATAAATCGTTTCTCCAATTCACAACGGTACTACTTAATACATTTTCTGATAACAATTATTGAGAAATTATAAAACTTATAAAAAATAATAACTTTCTTATTGTTAGAAGAGCTTACTGGTAGCGTTGTGAATCGTGCATTTAACAATTTTAACATTGACAGTCTCTACAACAAAAAATACTTCATTTCTGGAATTTAGCATAGTTCTCAGTAAGTAATTCATCATTTTCAATCAATATAGTTTATAGAAATTTTTCAAATTTTGAATAATTTAAAATCTAACCTACTGCTCTGATATGAAGGGAGAAACTATGTTGTTGTTCAGGTGCACTGGATATTGTAAACGGATGCCACTCAAACCTGAAAACATTGATTGATTGACATATATATATTTATAAATGTTTTCTAGTCTTAATAAACTATTGTACCGCTATGTGTACGATATAAATATATAATAATAAATTTTAAAAAAATTTTAATATTTAAAAAAAGTGTCAACACAATGTTTTCCAACCTCCTAATAAAAGATTTTAATTATCAATTTGAGATAGTTGAACTGAATTCGGTCTCCTTTTTTTTAAAACAACATTGTTTTTTTTCTTTCTCGTCTTTGCGGTTATAAATATCATTCGATTTACAGATGTATAATCGTTTCTAATAATCGTTTCCCAGTTAAAGCTATTTTTCTCTAAAAAAAGGTTTTGCTCTCAAACACCGACCGGCCGTTTTATCGTTCTCTGCCCAACCTTGTAAATAAAAATAATTATTTGAGTAAAATTGTAATTAAATAATGCAGTTGGAAAAATAAAGAATTTTAAACGCTTTTGTTCAAGCCTTTTTTAGTTTTGGAGTCACACAAACACAGGACTGGGGGGGGAGGTCTCTTTTAAATTTACTGTTTTATAACAATTTTAGACATTTATTTTACTTGACAGATTATTTATATGTGGGGCTAATTCAATCTTTTTTAATAAACTAACCTACTGATTGCTGGTATATTAATCAAAACATAATCTCCTGGACTAAATGTAATACCATCAGTTCTTCTTACAACTAAAGAAAAAGAATAATTGTTTTTATGTATCTTAAAATTGTTTATATCTGTATGTACATTTGTTCATGTCAGCTCAAAAACACTAAAACTGTGTAACTTAAATGATTGAAAAGATCCGAGCCTAGGTTGGAACTTGTGTTTCTGATGGACTGCAGCTAGAGCTTAAAGGGACAGACCGGCAATCAGTAAAGATCAGTATTCGCAAGCACTCCCTTAAAAATAAGATTTTGTTTAAAAATATAAAAATTTAAAAATATACCTAGTTTTGTTACTTTTGACGACAATGAGTGTAGTTGAACAGCATAGCTCTTGTTGGAGCCAAGCAGGATCTTGGCAATACCGTAGAGCTTAGATATTATGAATATAGTTCCTGGAAGTAGAGATTGGCATTATCGACTTTTTTCATTTCGTTCCTTTGTCGTTAGTGAATGACCCATATCGTTCGTTTTTTATCAATAGTTCAAAAAATGAATGCATTTTGTTCGTTCTCAAATTATAGTTTATTTTCTATCGTTTTCGTTCGTTTTGTCACTGAACAATTGTTGAGTTAAAGCGTTTGTTCAGTAAAATCGTTCCTTCAATATAATTGTTTGTTCAGTCACAAAAAATTGTTTTAAAAATCGTTCAATCAGTATAAAATTAAGGTTTTTTTTTAAATGTTGATCCAAAAATCCTTCGTTTAGTAAAAAAAACGGTAGTTTTTAAAAAGTTTTTTAAACGATTTTAAATTATTAGTTTTTGTTTTTTGTTTCGTTCGTTTTTAAAAAACTATAATTTTTCTTTTTTTCTGAAATATTGCATATTGTTCGTTTTTTCTGAACGACACCCTATCTCACGAAAAATTTCGTTCGTTAAAAAAACAATGTCCATCTCTACCTGGGAGCAGAAACCAAATCCAGAAGTTTTCTTCGTGAACAACTTTTAATATAAAATCGTTAATTGACAAATTAAAATTAAAAATACTTTCAAAATTTCTTAATATAAGTTTTCGGTGAACATTTGTTTCTGTTTGTATAATGTAGTTTTTGTTTCCGTTCATGTAAAAAATAATTGAATGATTGAATACATTTCTCAGACTATGAAACATTATATAATGTTAGAAAGAAAGATTATGACCTTTTCTGCTTACTACCGTTTAATCTTTTAATAATTTTGATAAAAAAAAATCATTACAATTTTATGTTTCAAACTTTTTTTTTTGATAAGCAAAGATCGTTCATCATATGAAGTTATCAGAAAAGAAAAAAATTCACAAGATTTTTTTTTAACTTTATCTGAAAACTCCTTGTTATTCATTTTGGTTATTTTATACTGACAAGGCAAAATTAAAAAAACATGTTTATAGCTAGAGTTCTTACTTAAAAGTATCCAAAAGAAAATATAGCTGAGATGTGTGAAGTAGAATACTTCAAAATAGCCATTCTCACGGATCCAGGGTATAGCACCACACAGGAGAATTATAAAAAATATAACTGAAACAATTTATAAAATCATGATCATTAATGCTTCTAAATTGTAAATCTATTTTTTTATTTGCCTTTTTGTTACAGGTTCTATGTTAATGTCTAATAAACGGCCAAATTGTGAAAATGATATAATATATATTAATAATTATCACTTAATTGAGTTCTTTGCAGACACCAAGCTATTTTAGAATTCGATATAAAAAAAATTATTTTGTAAACTCTTACTGTACTGTACTGTACTGTGCTGTACTGTACAATCTAGAGTCGATAGGAATTTATTTGTAGTCAAAAAGATCAAATTTCTTTTGAAAGTTAGTTTTGTCTCAAAACAAAATAATTGTTCTGTATTATCAAAACAAATACGATTAAAATTTTTTTTGAAAAAATCTTAAAAGACTTTTGATTTGAAAATGAAAACAGAAAAACAACCATTTCAAAACGAAAAATTAATAACTGTATGGTTCAAATCAATAACCTCCATTTGATTTATCCCCTCAATCAATTTTAAACCAAAGCAATTGAGACTTTTGGAACAAAATAAAATATTTAAACCTCAATATTTTCTGAACTCGATGTTTTAAACCTTTGATATTTCAAACTCAGATTATTTGATCTAACAGAATTCATAGTTTGAAATATCTAAGGTCTGCAACATTTGGTTCCAAAGATATAGTGATTAGAAAATCAGAGTTTGTGGCAAAGACTCAATTCTTCTTAGAAAACTAACCTCTACTGACATATCATTGTTAGCAGCGAATATATTTGGATCTGGGAGAATATTTATATAAAAATTGGCAACATGTGACAGAGTGTGGATTAGCGAAAGCACTGCTAGTAGCATACCACACCATTTGTGGTAGAATATGTGTAGATCCAAGGGCAGTATACGATGCAATCCTTGATTTCTAAAATGGTGTGCAACGTGAATTATTTTAAATGGTATTTTCTTCCATTTTGACCATTTTCGTTTTAATTTCTACTGGCCCTCAACTTAGAAAGTAGTTCCCCTTAACCCTTTATCTAATATGTTGAAGATTTCATGGACAATGTTTAATTCTGACATTTTTTTTATTGCTTCTGCATTAGGAATGCGTTATTCACTTTTAAAGACAATAATCATTCTTTAAAAGAAAAAATCATGTATATGTTGTGAATAGAAATGCCACTCTACAAATGGAAGATATTTTTAAATAACTAGGCATTTAGGGCACTTCGCGCCCATCTTCTATTTCAAGTTTTAATTATGGCTCCATCTGTGAGCATCTTCTATTGTACACAATAGAACAAAACCAAGCAAAAAGTGTGCAGATCTGAAAATATTTTTTCGTGGATCTTCAAAATTTTACAAATATAAAAAAACTTTTGAGACAGTTTTTTGAAGCTCTGAGCATCCATAAACCTTCCCTGGGATCATGTGAGGCCCAGAACAAAATTTGGGCCCAATCGGTTCAGCCGTTTTGATGTTTATTGGATACAAACAGACAGACTGATCACAAGCAAAGTCTATATGTACAGGCTTTTAGGGCGCTTATTTAGAAGCAAATTTTTTAAAAATCGATCATTCATAAACCTTCCCTGGGGTCACACGAGGTCCAAAATAAATGTCGGCCCAATTGGTTGAGCCGTTTTGACGTTTATTGAATACAAACAGACACACAGTGCAAAGTGTAAAGACATAGAAATAAAAGATTGATTACTTATAATTTTGTGTAAAATTTGAAATAAAATTACCTCATAAATGTAATAAGAGGCTTACACACTAAAACTGTCATGGTTGATGCAAGGATGGAACATCCCTGCCCAGTTGACCTGCTTACCATCACCCACCAGTTTAAATCTCCATTTTGATCCAAACTTGAGGTAAACTGAATAAAATAAATAATAAATGAAAAGAATAACAATTTGTACATTTTTAATAACCAAAAATGAACATTTAAAATGTGACCTCAGATTTTTTCATAAATTTTACCCGTTCAGAAAACAAATAGTAAGTTACTAAACAACTTTTAGATGAGTATTGAGCAATCAACATTTTTTTGCTGCTTCTATATGCCTCAAAAATTCAATGCACATCAAAACTTTTCAACGAATCTAGTGAGTGAAGGGGGGGAGGCACTCTTTTATTAAATATTATTATAAATAATAACCTGAAGAGCTCTTGCAATCATCATAATAAGCAGAAATATAAGAAATAAAACCACTGTAGCAACATGTTGACTATTGTTTTGAAAATAATCAACAGAAAAATAGGATTGTTTTACAGGTTCACCCTGTTTCGTCTTCTTGACGTCATCAAACTGAGGCTCTAGGACTTTTAGAATATATTTCTTCAAGAGCACTCTCTTCTGGAAATAATTAAAAACATTAGATACGTTTCTATCAATTGAAATTGATATCGAATTTGTGAAATCTTTAAAAAAAAATATTTTCTTTAAATCCTTCACAGAAACATGCTTTAGAATTTAATAAAAGTATTTAATTCTAACATAGAATAAGATAAAAAAGGAAACTATTATACCTGCAATTATAAAACTATTCTTCCTGTACATAATTATAAAATATATCTACCTGTACATAATCATAAAATATATCTACCTGTACATAATCATAAAATATATCTACCTGTACATAATCATAAAATATGTTCTACCTGTACATAATTGTAATATAACTATACCTGTACATAATCATAACATAACTCTACTTGTACATTATGATAATATAATTCTACCTGTACATAATCATAACATAATTCTACCTGTACATAATCATAACATAACTCTACTTGTACATAATGATAATATAATTCTACCTGTACATAATCGTAAAATATCTTGAACGTAAGAGATTGGTTTTCAGATGAATCATCAGGAATCATGTCTTCCACCATAACCTTTAAAGGGACTGTTACAGTAATTTCAAGTGACCTTCAAGGGTACAAGTTTACTCTTTAAACCTTTAGTTTATCAAAAAGAAAGTTTTCCAGATTAATTGTTTTCAATTACTGTTCTTTGAAGTGCTAGTTGTACAGCTACAAATTCAAATTATTTCAACAGCTCATTTTTTGAAGAAAAAAACGAACAAATATATTTTTTTTAAACTTTTAATCATTACTTCAAAATACGGTTGTAGGCGATTATATCTATGTAACGAAGTCGACTAGGGATTTCAATTTTTATTTTTTTTTAAAGGTTTTAAACAACATGGTTACACAAAAACAAAGAGAAATTGTAATTTTAAAAATCTTCTCTTTATTTACTTGTAAACTTGTAATTCGATAAAAAGCATGTCAACAATCAAAACTTAAATAATTGATATAATCGCCTACCACCGCACTAACCTTTGCCATTTCCTGTATTTTCCCATATTCAATTTGAAAACTGATCTTAGTAACTATCTAAATAAAACTTAACAATTAATGATGATCAAATTATGTAACATAAACAGAATAGTCTTAAAATCATTTTGAGAATTAATCTTTTGTGAATTTTTTTTTATATTTATATGATTTATAAAAACGCCGAAATGGCTAATTATAACACCAAATCTATATTATATTATGTGTGATCGCCTAACTCCTTTAGTCTTCAACGCACAAGTTTAAGTAAAACAAATTTATTCAGAAATCCAAAAAAATGTTACACCTGTTGAAGTGTAGCTTGCATTTCTTCCTTGGTCAAAATTCCGTTCAGATTCCGATCATATTCGTCAAAAATAAATCGAACTTTTGTCCTAAAACAAGTGAATGAGAAGTACACATGTCACGCACCTCTGCCCCTCTTGTAAAAGTAAATTCAACCTATATGAAGAATAAAGTCTGACCGCGTCAACCTTGTTGCACGGGCAAGTCCTGTCCATAGAGCTAGGTTCAGTACAAACTAGGACTGGAAAGGTTGACCCGGCTCGGAAATTCAAATGTACCATGGCTGCCCGTTATGTAGAATACTATTTATTCATGATAATACAGCAGTACGCACCGAAAGCTTAGTTAAGGGGGGGAAACATATAAACAGGCAGTAGCTCTCGCCGCAGCGCTTGGCCGCTTAACATATCTTTAATTGATATAATCTAAAATGACATGGCAAATTTAATATGGCAGACATAGAATAGCAATTTAAACGAAGCTTGGGTGTATCTTTAAAAAAAAATTACATCAAACTGCAACCTTTTTTCATTCTTTTGTGTTCAGTTTCCCCCAAAATATAGCGCATAAACTCTTAACACAAATAAAACCTGAAATTTTTTGGGAGGGGGCCAAAGAGGGGGGATATTTTTAAAGAATAAATCCCTAAAACAAAACAAAAAGATATAAACAAAATACCTGTCAGTCTGTAGATAAAACAGTGTCGCTGCTACTTGACAGTTTTCTAGAAAATATTTTTAAAAATTATTCCTAAAAACAAACAAAATTTAACTTGACTTAAAGGAACTGCTTTCGTAATTTTAAAAGACCTTCTTTTTAAAAAAAAGGTGCATTCACAACGGCACCCTTAAACATTTCTGAAGAAGAAAGTTACGTTTGAAGATAACCCACAAGTTTAGATAAACAGTTTTAAAAACAAAAACATGGATATCGTATTCATACTTGATCCGACATTGCTGTTCTAATGAACGTACACTTTGACCTGAATTTACGTCAGACTCAGAGCTTTCCAATAATGTTTGAACTGTTGTTGTTTTAAAATTCTTTTCATTCATATTCCATAATTCAAAAACCTGCATTCGATCTAAAATATAAAAAATAAGTTACATGTTTAATCCTCTTTTTTCTTATGAAAAATACATGATTTTTAGTTTATATGGACTGTAAGCGAAATGTTTAAGTAACCCTTCATGTAAAAATAGCAATGCCCGATTCACAATACCCTCATAAGCTTTGTCTCATCAATTAAAAATTAGATATTAATTTATACAGTTTTGAAAACTGATCATTTTCAATTGTGGTTTCTCTACAATAGAGTGCATTTCCAACTCGGGAAAAATTTCTATAAACTATCTGAGGGAGGAAAACAACAATATCAGATTAGGGTTTCAAGGGTACCGTTGTGAATCGGTCATTGCACCTAAAATGTTTACCTGTTTTGATAGACGTAGGAGATGAAATCAAAATAATATTCTGAATTATTTCCTTGTACATAACTAAAGGTTTATAAATGGTACCGTTGTGAATCGGTTTTTTACCTTGTAACAGTTTAACAAGCTTTTTCTCCATCAAATCAAAATTTTGATTAGGATTCCTGGAAAAATAATTTTAGATTTCCTGGAAAATTATGATTAGGATTTTTGGAAAAATAATTCTAGATTCCCTGGAAAATTTTGATTAGATTTCCTGGAAAATTTTGATTAGGATTCCTGGAAAATGCTAATAAATATCCATCCATCTATCAGTATTTTTTTGCTTATCAATTTAAAAAGTTGTAAAAAGATATATTTTTTATGTCCGAGAGATGGTGTTAAGAAATTGAATCTTTGCCACGAACTCAAATTTTCTAATCCCTAAATACTTGCCATATATATATTTTTATGATTTTTATGTTGCAAAGATATAAAGATTAGAAAATCAGAGTTTGTGGCATTGACTCACTTTCTTTTTTTAATTTGCTATCTTATTTCTTTTTATATTAATTAAAATCGTATGTCTGAAAATTAGTTTTCAAATTTTAAATTCATAATATTGTAACTACCTTATTTTGTAAAGATATAGCAGATTTGAAAAAAATATTTCTTCATTAATATCAACGCATAATTCTTTTATCAATGTAATGTCTCCAACAGTAAATCTAAATTTTAACTTTTATAAATTAAAAATTCATCGAAAAACAACATTCAAATATAATTTACCTAAAACTTGTCTTTTCATTTGAAAGCAGTTGTTTCTCTAAACTGTGTTTTAACCTTAAAATTTTTAAAATATATTTAATATTTTTATACATAGTATAAAAATGCCACTCATGGGAAATTCCCATTGGGAATGAAACATACAGACAAATAAATTAAGTCTTTGTCACAAACTCAAATTTCCTAATTCCTTTCTTTTTGCAACCTATAATGGTGTAAACCTTAGATATTTAGCCTATATGATCTAACAGAATTCATAGTTTGACATAGCTAAGGTCTTAAACATTTGGTTCCAAAGATATAGGGATTAGAAAATCATGATTTCTAGTAAAAACTCAATTCCTTTGAAAGTATACAACGTTATTAAAACATTATTTTGTCTTCGAAATAACTACATCTTTTTTGACCCCCCTCCCTCACTCCCCTCAACCCCCTCCCCCCTACCAAATATAATTCTGAAAAAGAAACCATTTCTTTACCTGAAAATTGTGCTCAACATTTGCGCTAAAACCCATCTTTTTCTCTCCTGCATTTTTAGTATTTAAACTTTAGTGAAATATATATTTAACTATTGGAACAATGTACTGAACTAAACTGTTCCAAGGAAAATAACTAAAAATTATTCATGGGCCTCGGACTCCCGTAAGCTGCCAGAGGCTGAATTTAAGGAATTTGAGCCGCAGCTTAAATTTGAAACGCGGCTCAAATGTGGTTGGTTCCACTTAACATTGTTTTCGAAATGTTTCAAGATTTAAGCCGGCGCTTGATTGAAGCCGGTTTTTGGCGGATTTGATACGCGGCTTAAATTCATTAAATTCGGCCTCAGTTGGTTTAATAAACATTATATATATATACAGGGTGAGTCATAGAACAATGTGATTAGTGTCGTCTAATATTCGTGAAATTCTCATTTACAATCCCCAGAAATTGGCTGGGAGGGGGGGGGGTCGTCGATTTAACATTTTTCTCTAAAATGCTGTTTTTAACCTTAGAAATGTTCTCGAAATGTACTGGGTCCCTTTTCCAAAGATTTTAAAAAAAACATCTTTTTTCGTCTTATTTTATTTTGAAAAATTCTTAATTCTTATTTCATTGAAAAAGCGCAGTTTATTCTATTTTGTTGAATAAAACGTAAAAATAAAATTGTAATTTTTACTTAAAATCTTCTGAAAAGAGACGTCGAGCAAATTCTCGAATATTTCGGGGGTTCGGAGACTTTTAGGCAATGGGGGGATGGGTATAAGGAATTAAAACCTGTTGGAAAAAAAGCCAACCCAGTGGTCTCATTAATAATAATTTGGTTTAGAACTATAAATGAAGAAAAACTATATATCTATTATATATATATGTCTATCTATCTATATGTACATATATATATATCTAGACAAATGTGAGCTGTGAAATAATAATTCAAAGGCTCTGCTTGAGACCGCGTCTGGGATTAATTGAAATGAAAATTTTGATGAAATTTCCTTGAAAAATGTTGAGACGCGGTGGGGGCAATATACTAGGGGTCCTAGGGGTCAAACACTGAACAAACAGATTTACAAGGTTTATTAGGCTTGCATCAAAGTAACCGTAGACGTAGAAAGGGACCCTACATTTTTAGAGGGGTGCGCCCAATTCACAAGGAAACCCTTAAATTCTTATTTTATCGAGAACGAAAGAGCTTTTCATGTTTTCTCTTTAAAAATTGATTATTTTTAATTGTGATTTCTCTATAAAAATGATTTTCAGATAAATGGCTGAAGAAATTGTCCCAATCAAGAATTCTTTCGAAGCAACAACTAAAAGTTAAAATTGCAATTAGGAAAGAGCCGCGAAACGCCCTAAATTCCTAGTTCCTTGAATTCTTCTGTAGGATTTATTTCTTATTGTAGTTTTCTTGAACTCGTTTTATGGATTAACTTTTCTTAACATTCCTTTCACTTTGCTGAATAAAATATTTTGATAAATCGATATTTAATCTTATTCTTAACCCATTGATATATCTGTAGACAATAAACGATGCAAAAGTAAGAAAGGAAATGAAAAAGAAAAAGAATATGTAGAGAAGAAATGAAAAGATGATTGATAGAAAAAACTAAAGGAATTTTTTCCCCCATTTTCCGCCATTTTCATTCATTGATTAAACCACACCCTGGGTAAACTACAGGATTAGTTCACACGGAAAATATAATCTTTATGCACCTTCTTTCTACCTTCTACAATTGCTAGAATTTGTCAAACTCACTTTCTAACAAATAGTATTTATCTTTCTAAGATTTTGTACAGTTTAAACCCATAATATTTTATTGATTGCTTAAATATCTATCCAACTTTTGTTCATTACTGAAATAAAAGATTCTCAATTAAAAAAACAAGGGTTCTCTACTAAATACTAGGGTTCTCAAATAAAATAACAGGGTTCTCTACTAAAAAAACTGGACTCTCTACTAAAAACCAGAGTTCTCTACTAAAAAAAACACGGGTTCTCTACAAAAAAAACTGGACTCTCTACTAAAAACCAGAGTTCTCTACTAAAAAAACAAGGGTTCTATACTAAAAAAACAAGGGTTCTCTACTAAAACCCAGGGTTCTCAAATAGAATAACAGGTTCTCTACTAAAAAAACTGGACTCTCCACTAAAAACCAGAGTTCTCTACTAAAAAAAAACAAGGGTTCTCTACTAAAAAAAAATGGACTCTCTACTAAAAACCAGAGTTCTCTACTAAAACAAGGGGTTCTCTACTAAAAAAACAAGGGTTCTCTACTAAAAAACAAGATTCTCCACTAAAGCAAGGTTATCTGCTGAAGAATCATGGTTCTCTACTAAAAAACAAGGGGTCTCTACTAAAATCCATTGTTCTCAACAACAAAAAAGATTCTCTATTAAAAATTAAAAATCTTCTACTAAAAAAATAAGGTTCTCAACTAAAAATCCAGGAATCTTTACAAAAGAAATAAGGCTTTCTACTAAAAAATCAAGGTATTCTACTAAAGAACTAAAATTTCTACCAAAAAAATTGGGGTTTCTACTAAAGAACCTGGGTTTACTTCTAAATAATCAAAGATTTTTACAAAAAATAGGTTTCTCTATTAAAGAGATTAAATGATATATATATCTATCTATCCGGTAGCTCCGGATGAGTGAGTTCTCCCACAGGAAAACTGTACTCAAGCATGAACCCTGAGACAGGACGGAGAAACCAAGGAATGAGGAAGACGGAAACGGATTTATCTACTTAGATCGGAACCAGAGTTTGATAATCTAAACCTGTGCACGTCCAGCAACCAGGAAAGGGAGGGGGAGGGGGATACAGGAAAGGGAGAGATTTAAAGGCGTAGATAAAAGGAATGGGGAGGGGAAGGTGGGTAAAAAAAATTTAGCCGCAAATCTTTTTGATTTTTGCAATTAGCTCAACTATGGTTGGTTCCAATTAAAATTGTATTTAGTTTTATCAAAATTTAAGCCGACGCTCAATTGAAACCGGTTTTAGGGTGATTTGAGACGCGGCTTAAATTCATAAAATTCGGACACAGGAATAAAAGATTTCAATATTTAAACAGTAGACAACCTTTATACATTTTCTAACAAAATTTACAATTATGAAGTTGGACCATTTTGAGTCCAATTAAGTGAAAGTCTTTTTTAAGTTATGTAATAACCCCCCCCCCCCCTCCTCGCCAAATAGGATAGGATTAAAGGAAAAATTGTACTCGAATATCTTGACCTCCCCCTCCTTTCTATGAGGTGGTTATGAAATGATAACCTTGATATAGGTATTTCTGAATAGAGGGTGGATCATCTTATAAAGTGAAGAAGGGGCGGACCCCTGAGCTTTACAATAATATCGTCAATTTCTTAACTTTATAGAATATTCTCACAATAAGAAATCTGTGTATGTAGGAATACATCACACTGTGCTTAAAGTTTATACAGGGAAGGCCAATAAACTTGAGAATCATATAATATGGACAGACTTCTTTCAAGCCGTGATCATTAATGGTCAGTTAAACAAAGGTAAACAAAGTTTCAGTTAGCCGTTCGTTATAATTAGGTATGAACGGAACGTTCAGTTCGGTAATGGTATTTTCCGTTGTCTTTAAAGTTATCGTTCGTTAGCGTTTTAAAATTTATTAATGGCGCGTTTTTTTAGAAATTGTTAACGGTGCCAGCTGTTGAAGAGCCGTAAACTATTATTTAATGTAAAAACACAAATCTGCAGCTAAACTAATTATGACGAGCAAAATCGAAACAAGAAAAATATAAGCAATTAAGAGGTTTAATGGGTTCGAAATAAAGCTTCTCTGACTATTAGATCAGTGTTTGTGGTGTATGCAGGAAACCAGAACATTCTTTATATTTTACATTCATTTAGTTTTTACAACTCTTGGTTTCACAAATTACTGGTAATGGTGTCTATTCATGAATACTAAATATAGAATAGGACTGAATATCTTCCTTTTTATCTTGGTTCCTTTATTCTTAAAGGGAAAGGGACATGGTCTCTTTAATTTTAAAGGGAAAGGGACATGGTCTCTTCAATTTTAAAGGGAAAGGGACATGGTCTCTTCAATTTTAAAGGGAAAGGGACATGGTCTCTTCAATTTTAAAGGGAAAGGGACATGGTCTCTTTAATTTTAAAGGGACCCTTTAGATGTTATTTTAGGGGACTCTTCATTTACAGATAGGCAATGACCATGTCCCAGTTATCGATAAACTTTTATAACCTTTAATTAGTTTAGGATTGTAATGATTAGTTTTTCTGTCGGAAAATTGATTATTTTAAACTATGGTTAGCTTTTTATGACTATTCAGCAGGCTCAATGAAGAAAATTGTTCATATTGAAAACTTTATAAAAATGAAAAATGTTGACCTCATCTTTTATGTAATTGGAATAAAGTTTTGAAGAGTACCGTTGTATCGAAAATAAAGGGTTACTACAGTGAATCCCAGAATCATAGCAAGGGTTTTTTATAATGTCATATTACATATATAAGATCAAATGCCGCGAAAATAATGAGTTTAATATTAATATATCAGTTGCATAATATTTCAGTGCTATTAATTCACCTTGAATAAAAAATAAAAAAGAAGTTTCTTTAGAATTATCAAAAAACTTATGACAGTCTATGTATTCATATATCTGCAGATACAATGCAGTAAAATAAAAGTGCAAGAAAATTAATTAATTTCATTTTAAGGCTATTTAAATACTAACACATTTCTCTTTTGTTTTATAAACTTAAAACTACAAAACGCACAGTAACATGCGCGGACACCCTGACATGCAGGCGAGTTCTAAATTAGGCGCGTGCTCAATTACTAGAGCGCTCCCCCTTTCACGTTCACTGTTAGGAACTAGTAGAGAACAATAATTTAGTTCTAATTCAAAATCTCCAAATATGGAAACTAGCTCAATACTGCTCTTCTTACAAACACACACAAACACGAGATTAAAAACACCCCCATGCAGAAACATTAAAAATTAAGCCAAACAAAACTTTATGTGACCTTCACATTATAGAAACGTCCTATTCACAAAGATACCCATATCAGCTGTGTATGATCAAGAATGAATGATATATTCATGTTTTTGAAAAATAATCATTTTCTGATATTATTTCTAATGTTTCATGTTATGCCCAAATACACATTTTGCACGGGCAACGCCGGCTACTTTTACTAGTCTTTATACATAATGAATAGATGTATATAGAAACCGATCAAAAACCCCGACCCCTAGTGTATGTATACTATATGTATAATAAACAATTACAGTTATCCAATTAGTGCATTCATGCAGTATGAATTAGATATCCATGTTTTTTTTTAATATACATATTATTTTCATTTGTGGTTTCTCTACAAAAGTGACTTGGGTATTTCTTGCTTCACATTAATATAATTAAACACTTTTTCACATATCTATATGATAAAACATGACATATAAATATGTTGCGTATAGCCGGCAAAACGGCTGGCCGGACCGAATGGCCTGAAATTTTTTGTGGACACTCATGGGTGACCGATGGGTGTAATAGGCTAAAAAATCGATTTTTTTTTCAAAATTTTAAATTTTTTTCCACTTTCAGCGCCAGGCCCTGCAGCTAGTTAATCATATTAAGGTTGGAAGGGAACCTGGGTGAATCATAAAGGGCCCCTCTCTAAATGGAGGCTCACAATTAATATTAAGCTGACAGTTCCTTTAGATTTAATTCTCGGATTTCTTTCATAATGCCAAACGAACTCTACCTGTTGAGATAAAAATAGCGTATTATACGCCCTTTCATTTTACTTGAACAGTCCCTTTAAACAAAACAACAAAAGATGAATTTCTCGCGAGTTGAAGGTTGCGTGATTTTTAAAAAAGGTGAAATTATAAAGAGGTTTGGTGATTTTAATAGACGTTGTTAACCCTTAATGATTTCAATTATGAAATATTTACATACAATTTATAATGAGACAAGACAAAAAAGCTATGGAATAGGATGACAAAAATTTAGCAGTTTTATGCCGTATTTGATGTTGTTAAATTGCAAATAATGTTTGTCATTAGCTTAACAAATTATCTGCAATAAGAAAAATGAGTCTGTGTACAATTCACATTACCATGTATTTGAACCTTATTTTGTAAGGGTGTCTAAAAAAAACGGGGAATTAGGGTCTACAGATTCCTTTGGAATCGGATTTTCAAGATTGAGACCATTTTTAAAAACTACGTACAAATTTCGATATAATAAACCCAATTTTATAGGCTTGTAGATTTAAATTTAACAATTTTATATGGCTCCTAAAGTTTCCAACTTGAATGAGTAATTTTGTAAAAATAAGAAAATCAATTTTGTATAAGGGTCTAAACTGCACTTGCTTGTAATCGGATTTTCAAGATGGAGACCATTTTTAAAATCTACCTACAATTTCCGTTTCAATGAGTACAACTTTAAGCTTGGAGATCTGAAAATAACAATTTTACAGGCTCCTAAAGTTTCCAACTGGAGTGAGTAATTTGGTAAAAATAAGATAATCTCCGTTTGCACAATTTTATATATTCAATGTTAAGTTACAGTTTATTACAGTACAATTGTTATTTTTAGATCTACAAGCCAAAAATTGGGCTCATTGAATCGGAAATTGTACGTAGATTTTAAAATTGGTCTCAATCTGGAAAATCCGAGTACAACCGAGTCTGTTCACCCTTTTCCCCCGTTTTTAGACACACTGTATATGTATTACAAGCTGAAGTTTCATCATGAGTTTCATCAAAAAAGTTCAGCCAATTCGGTCCAGCCGTCTAGTTCAGCCAATTCGGTCCAGCCCTCTGGCCAGCGCCAGCTATAACTAACATTCATACAAATATATAAATATATGAGCGAAGAACTTTATTATATTGAGATATATTTTCAATTTAGTGTGGAGCCCATGCTAAGTCAAAAAGCTTTGATTTTTTAAATTATCTCCTTAAAAAATGTAAAGTAACAGACCGGATCGGTAGGATGGTTGAGCTGAGAGTAAAGTAATATAGAGAAAACCTTGACATTCTTTTTTACCAATAAGTACAATGTAAAAGCGTAAACTTGTTTTTTTTTAAATCATGACAATTCGCTCACTATTTGCTTTATAACAATATCAAACGCACTTTTATATTGCTGTAATGTCGTCCTCCAGTTCATTGTTTTCAGGTTATCACTGTATTTTACTGCACTCTCAGTTCAATTGTATAAACTAGCCAGTCTCTCCCTTTGAATGTACTGTACTGCACTCTCAGTTCAACTGTATAGACTAGCCGGTCTCTCCCTTTAAATGATTATTCATCTCTCTCTAAGTCAAAAGTTTAAATTATTCAATTTAAAAGAAGATTTATTAATGTAAATACATATATTATATAGTTATAATACCACATATATTTGACCACCGAGATATTCACTAACCTTTAAATTCAAATGAAAGCAATTCAAATTTTGATTGTATTTGAGAAAATTTGTAGAAATTAAAACTGATTTATTTTAATTCCTTGCACCAGATGACAGTTTAAAAATAACATCGATTTAAAGCGAAAACTTAAGTAATTTTAATAAAAAGATGCACATCACGATTCAGAACTTTAATCCATGGATCAATAATGCGGGACAAATCTTTAGCGGAAATGCGCAAGTCAGCTTCTGGAGAAACCAGAGTTGAAAATAAACATTTTTCAAAGAGAGGATGAACGTATAATCAAAACAAGCTTGCAAGGGAACCGTTGATAATAGGAATCGCTGAAACTACGCATACAGTCTCTTTAAGTTTATTTTTCACTAAAACTATCACTGACGTTGCAGGAAGATGATAGAAAATATGGACGCCCGAATAATTTACAATTTCAAAACATCAATCTTTAGTACAGTGAGTCCCAGTAAATATTTTAATTTAGGGACCACCAAGAATGATTTGATTATTCATGAAATAGTGTGTCGACCTCAAAAAGAATAGAATATATATTAGAGTGAAATTTAGACAATCCCTCGGTATGAATTTTGTCAGTCCCTTTCAGCCTGAAAGGGAGTTCAAAGTGTACAAATCATGTAAATGTTCACAAATTATATGAAGTAGAGTACATTAATACAGTATGTTCACTAGACTATCCTAGGACTCAGGCAGTTAGTATTAAAGCCCGGTTTTAGGCATAAAGGGAGGGCTTTGGGTATGTAGGAAAAGTCAGAAAATTTCAACAGCATCAGACCAATACTTTTTAAGTTATGTAAAAAAAATCTAGAGGGGGGGGGTCAACTTGACACCCCCCCCCCAGCAGGAATAGGGTTAAAAGCAAAATTTTGGAAAATCTAATTTTGCTGCATGTTAGATAGTTAAGATTTTTTAGGATCACATCTTAAGAAGAAAACCTTGGTGATGTAAGAACGGACCTAAAAACGATGCTCTTTTTCTACAGTAAACTGGGAATTTGTATAATCATATTTCCTGCTTAGTTTTAATTAAATTATCCTGTTTATTGGGACACAATGAAAGTCGTCTTCCTATTCCAGAGTTTTCTGGTTCTCACTTTGCCTTCAAAAAAATATTGAAAACTTCAAATTTTGTCATGAATACTGGTCAATAATGAATTTACAACTTCTTTCATTTTCCCTTTTACACAAAGCAACGATGTATTTATGACGTACTTTGTCTGTACTTTGTCTGTACTTTTTCTGTACTTTGTCTGTGCTTTGTCTGTACTTTGTCTGTACTTTGTCTGTACTTTGTCTGTGCTTTGTCTGGCTTCGTTGTCCGACTCCGCACTCTATATTCTTTTGCCACTAGATGTCAACCCTAAGTATAGATGTCGCCACTTAATCCAATTTTACTTTCCATTTTTATTTCGCCGACAGAGGTCGTATTTTACCGTACTTAGAACGAACAGCCTCGGCTAAGTAAAGCAGCAAGTTATTACCAAACTTGTCGAAGACGACTTCCATTTTCCGCATTTTACATTCTTAAAATGTTTATATCTGAGAAGAAATAAGCACATATTAATTATGAACTTTACAGAGACAGCAGATTGTAGATATTTGAAATAAAATTATGTTAATAACTACTGATGAAAAATGTGGGTACATTTTTAGCGCTCCATTGTCAATGTTACATCGACTGTTGTCTCTTTTCTTCAACAATCTAAAATAAACATTTTTAATTTTGCATAGCACGTTTTTTCTGAATTCTTTTAAGCCTTATTTATCTCGACATATCTATATATAAATTTGGCTTGTCTGTCTATTTGTTTGAGTGTCTGTCTGTTTGTTTGTATTCAATAAACGTCAAAACGGCTGAACCGATCGGGCCCAAATTTTTGTGGGACATCACGTGACCACAGGGAAGGTTTATGAATGATAAAAATTTAAAAAATGTGTTTAAAGGTTTTAATTTTGTAAAAAAAATTTTAATTCTTGAAAATCCGCGATTTTTTTTTTAAAATCCGCAAAATTTGTTTCTTCTTTGTTTTAAAATGTAAACAAAAAGAACATGTTCACAATTTAAATAGAAGATGGTCGCGAAGCGCCCTAAAAGCCTAGTTTTTTAAAAAATCAGCTTACCCTTCATCCATGTTTTTACTATCATTTTGTAGAACTGGTAAGCCATCAAGTCTAAATAACAACTATACAGTTAAAACCCAGAACTTCGAAGACATCGAAAGAATTTATAAAATGTCGTCTTGAATAAATTTTTAGTAGTGATAGTTATCTAATTTTTGGTAAAAATTAATAAGCATTCATTAAATATGCAGGAACACTTTCAAAGAGCTCATTACAATTATTTAATTAAAAAATATATATATCTGCGGCATGCAAATATGAGTATGTTAAGAAAACGACATTTTTAAATTTTTTTTTAATGGCCCCGAAGTTCTGGGTTAAACTGTATAAAACTGTGGATGAGAGTTTTGTACTTTGCAATTGCATGATGCAACTGATATATTTTAAACAAATTTAGCTGCAAAATACAAAATCTTTGTTGACATTTTATAATTAAAAGAAAAAAGACGAAAAAAATTGTGATATTTTGATATTCTTTGTAGGACTTTTATACAGATGAAAATTTTAAGATAATGTTGAGAAAAAATAAAATAATGAAGAAAAAAATAATGTAATATGAATAATCCACGAAAATAAAAAAAAAATTTGATTTTCCATTAAAGTTAGGTTCATTCTATTAGTTTTTAAATTTAAATACTTTTCAGCAAATTTTCAAAACTTCAGTTTTCCTACCTGCAACAACTGGAGCAGTATGTTATCTTAGTTCTTCCTCCCATGGTCACACAAAATGGCCTGAAAACATAGAAAAAAATCTGAAAACTTGACTTTACCTTATGACGTGTGAAGTTATAAGTTTGTGACGAATTATGACTACTCAGAAACCATATTGTTAATTTCAAATAAACGATATTCATAAAAATGATTTCACAATTTTACCTTTTTCAGAAAATGTTCAGATACTTTTTCATAATTTGTTATTGTTTTAATGAAGCTATTTCCAATAATCATAATACGTCACTTCAAAAATAGAATATTAATCAGAATTTGCCATCGTAGTTTTCATTTATTTTGATATATTTTTTATTACATCTGATCTATTCTAAACAAAGTTTATTTGATATAGCGTACCACTAGCTAAAGATTTTACATTTTTTATTCCTGATATCTTTTGCCGTTAAGAGGTGATTACATTTTAATCATAAATATAAAATACAGTGAAACCCCTAATAACGAATACATCGAAAGAATTAATCAAATGTCGTATTCTTCACTTTCTGATAATGGAATGTTGCAGATATTTAGTTTTTTAATTAAATGATTATATGGAACTCTTTAAAACTGTTCCCGCATATTCATGGCTATCTATTTATTTTCGCAAATACTGAAATTTACGTAATATAGTATAAAACTCATTAAAAAATTGTCAAGACGACATTTGATAAATTCTTCCGATATATTCGTTATTAAGGGTTTCACTGTATAAAATTTTAGACTTGCTTGTATTTTTAATGAATTTGAATAAAGACCCGTTATTCATTGTTTGTTATATTGATGGGGCCAATTACCCTCTCTTAAGGCATAAAGGTTGGTGAAGGGCGAATAAAAATTACTTACAGTGATAACCAGAAAATTATGGAATAGGAAGTCGACAATTAAACTCAAGTTATGACTTTAAATGGTCCAATGAAAAAGAGGCCCAGTAAGTGTTAAGTGTAAACAGACCCATTTAACTGATTATACTAGTCTGAGTTATTTGCTTTGTTACAACATCAAAATAACTTTGTATAAGACTTATTTTGGTTCGCAGTGGTTTAAAGTTTTAGAACAGAAATTGTTCTCGTTATCGAAAAGGTTAAAGCCTTTTTAGATTTAATTTTGTCCCGAGCTTTAGCGAGGGACAAAATATAATCTAAAAATACGAGAACCTTCGAGATATAGAGAAAAAAGTCCAAAAACTTTATAGCACGTTGTGCCAAAATAATAGTAATATAGATAATTTTTTGAAACGTTTGTGTACTTGTCTTATTTCAGTGGCTATTTCTATAGATCCTATCAAATAAGCTTCAGCAGAAGTAAAAAAGTAAAGTTGAGAAAAGTAAAGTTGATGACGTTTAAAATCAATTTATAACTAAAAAAAAATTCCGAAGAGCATTAGATACAAACATTTCGTGCAGTGTAAACAGACCCATTTCACTCAACTCGTGATTTAATAAATGTCAAGCAAAATTATTTACTTTGAAACAACATCAAATATATAGAAGTATTGTTATAATGTCGTCTTCCTATTCCCATGGTTTCTGGTTATCACTGTAGACCTGCAGTCGGAGCTGCAGTTTCTCTCCAGGCTCCAGGTACTCTCTCCACCGGTATCCGCTGTTCTATATTCTATCCGTCGCACCTGAGAAGTATCATTCAAATTTTTAAACATAAAAATATCAAGTAAACACCAAAATAAAATCAGATCAGGCCCAATTTTGTAGCAGGACCTCACGAAATCCAAGGGTAGGTTATAGGCCGGTCAGATTAACAAAGTGTTGCTTCTAGAAAGCAATATCAGCATCATTTCTAAAATACTAGAATATATGAATTGTAATGTTTGTCGTCTAACGGCTAAAAATTTACCCCACAGCTCACCGGCAAAAAAATAGTCAAAGTTGGTTTAACCATGTTACCAACATATTTTTGGGGGGAATTCGCCAATTTAAACTTAAAATTCTACGAAATATTAAATTGTTTTTATTAACTGTACAAAGAAAAAGTCGTCGTAAGTAACATTAAAAAAGCTTAAATATAAGAGAAAAAAGAGCATACAAACAAAACTTACAAGTTAAACACGGGACTTAATTGAAATAGAAAACATCAACAAAAAGAAACAGCAGGGTTGGATTGGTTGACATGTACCTGACAGTAGGGTTGGATTGGTTGACATGTACCTGACAGTAGGGTTGGATTGGTTGACATGTACCTGACAGTAGAGTTGGATTGGTTGACATGTACCTGACAGTAGGGTTGGATTGGTTGACATGTACCTGACAGTAGGGTTGGTTTGGTTGACATGTACCTGACAGTAGGGTTGGGTTGGTTGACATGTACCTGACAGTAGGGTTGGATTGGTTGACATGTACCTGACAATAGGGTTGGATTGGTTGACATGTACCTGACAGTAGGGTTGGATTGGTTGACATGTACCTGACAATAGGGTTGGATTGGTTGACATGTACCTCACAGTATGGTTGGATTGTTTGACATGTACCTGACAATAGGGTTGGATTGGTTGACATGTACCTCATAGTATGGTTGGATTGGTTGACATGTACCTGACAATAGGGTTGGATTGGTTGACATGTACCTGACATTAGGGTTGGATTGGTTGACATGTACCTGACAGAAGGTTTGGATTGGTTGACATGTACCTGACAATAGGGTTGGATTGGTTGACATATACCTGACAGTAGGGTTGGATTGGTTGACAAGTACCTGACAATAGGGTTGGATTGGTTGACATGTACCTGACAGTAGGGTTCGTTCGGTTGACATCTACCTGACTGTTTGGTTGATGAGTTTTACATCTACCTGACAGTATTGTTGGTTAAGTTAACGTATATGGACAATATATGTTTCATGTCTTTTACTGTACAACAATTTTGTACAAAAATAAAAAAATTTTAAAAAGATTTCTCTGAAAAAATTAATAATGTTTATAATGACATTTTTAAAAATTGCTTACATTGTTCAAGAAGCAAAACTATAGTTTAGACAATATTAAATTCTTGAAAAAAAAATAGAAAAAAGTATTTAACAAGTTTTAAAGTTTAACAGTTTCAAAAGATATTCTATGAAATAAATAGATCTTGAGACTGATAATTAAACTGTTCAGGGGAAATTAGGTTTAATATGAAACTGAAACCTAAATTTGTTATTATATATCTACCGTACACCACAGAGTAGATCAAGGAGAATTGAATAGAAGGAGGGGGCGATAGGGTTTCCGTACACTTTGCTGTGACGTTTTTGGACTGCTGAAGAGCTAGTTTTTGCATAACAACAATAATAAAGATTGTAAACAATAAAACAAATGATAAACAGACATCTGAGCCCTTTTTCTCCATAGAACGTGGTCGTGTATTTCACGTACTTTGGGGGACGATATCTTGGCCGCTAGATGTCTCGTGTTAAATTCTTATCTGATAGATAGATATTTCTCCGTAGATTTGACGACCAAAATAGAAGACGTCTAGTTGTCGACCAATGTAGTTTACGCCATTTTTAGATTCACTTTACTTTGTTCTATTTTCATGTAAAATATAGTTAGTTGTTTTTTGACTTTCGTTTTTTTATTTAGCCGTCGCTAAAATATGAAGGTTGAATTTAGTTTTCCACAATGAAGCTTTTTCTTATAATGATTTACTGAATAATTTTGCAAGAAAATGAAAAAAACGTTGTCTGTCGTCTTCGAAATCTCATCCTGTGTGAGTGACCCAGCATGTTTGAACAACGAAAACTTGAAGATAGTCGAATTTTCGAACACTGAAAAAATTCGCGAACCATTTCTTAAGTAAAAAAAAGTTATAAGACGACATTCAATACTGTATGAAAAGAAATTTTGACGGGAGCGTGAAAATATTTCGGACATTGTTTCGATATCTCTATTAATCTTTGAGATTATTTTTCACAAATAGAAAGTTAGGCTAACGTAAAAATGTTTTAGATTGTTCTATAAAACCTTGTTAATTACTCTAAACGCTTTTTAGATTTTCTACAGTGAAACCTTTAATACCGAATACATCGGAAGAATTTATCAAACGTCGTCTTGAAAATTTTTCAATGAGTTTTATACTATATTACGTAAATTTCAGTATTTGCGAAAAAAATAAATAGCCATGAATGTGCGGGAACAGTTTTAAAGAACTCCATATAATCATTTAATTAAAAAACTAAATATCTGCAACATTCCATTATAAGAAAGTGAAGAATACGACATTTGATGAATTCTGTCGATGTATTCGTTATTAAGGGTTTCACTGTATAAACTTTAAAATTCTTCAATAAACTTTTTAGATTGTGCTAAAGTTGGAATGTAAACCGATTCTAACAGAATTTTCGGTAGTTTGCAAAATTGCAATGCTTTCGGCTCTTTGAAATGACCGAAAGCATTCCGAACTGACGCAAATTCTGTTGTGAATCAGATATACTCCTCATTTTGAAATTACGCCGACCAAAGCAAGAGGATTTTACTTGCGCGTAATTGTAACCCCTGTAATTTCCGAGCAATAGGAGAATAGTTGTGCGCAATTGCGCACAACGGAATTCAGATTGGAAAGCAACCCTTGACAAGAATTACTTGCTAGTTCTCCCTGAGGGAAGTATAGTGATATCTTCCACAGTGGTTCCATAATAATCCCCGGACATCTCAAGGTTGCTAACAGGTCCAACTGAGGGTTTTCTAAATTTAAAATAGAATTTTAGTTCGATTTTAAAGCAATTACGTAAATTTAATGTTTTTGTTTCACGGGCAGCCGAACTACATTTGAATTTCCGAGCCGGGTCAACCTTTTGTTTGTACTGTATCGCCCGGACATTGGGTAAATAAAGCTGACACTNTCACATTGTGAACAATAGGGTAACATTAACAATTTTTATAAGCAATTTTCTAACTTTAGGGAGGGCCTTATTTTAAATTGCAATACACATAAGGTTATATATGCTTTGTTTGGTGGTTTTAAATCTTAGGTTTAAATCAACTTATTCTAATACTGGTACAGTACATAACTAAATAGTTTGTCTTGAGTATACAATACATACATAGATCTTAGAGAGTAGAAAAAGGCTTGGTTTTGAGTTCACTCGAAAACGGTAAAAAAAACAGCTTTAAAGTCAAAACTAATCAAACTGTATACTGTAAACACTACAGTCGTAACCAGAAACCTGTAGAATATGAAGACGACATTGAAAGTACATTTGATGTTGTTACAAGGGAAATATCTTTACTTGAAAGTTTTTAAACATAGTGAAATGAGTTTGTTTACACACAGCAGAATTGCTCTGTCTTTATCTAAAGTCATAACGTGAGTCTAAAAGTCGACTTCCTATTCCAGAGTTTTCTGGTTATCACTGTAAGAAAGGTTGTAAAAAAAGATTTGTTTCTTGACCTCGGCTTACTAAACAGAGTCGATTAGTGGTTAATTGTCCCATTTCCCCGTCTACAGCAGTTTTTTTTTTCTTAAGTTGATTGTTATTACCTTGGTTCCCCAGCTATTATGTGTATTTGGGTGTATAGTAGAGGTAAAATTAAAAACCATTCTTTTCTTGGCATTTTACTTTTTATATTTACATTCATCTTCATCTCTTTACATTCACATCTTCATCTTGGCAATTAATTTGTTTCTGAAAAAAATATAAAATAAACTAATGAGCATGACTCATGAGAGAGAATTAAATGGAATCTATAAATCGTAAAAAAAGTTAAATTCTCTAATTCTTTATTTATATCTTCACACCAAGAAATTGAAATAGCAAAAAAAGATAAAAATTGTAAGGATTTGAAACCTTTTTGATTATTTTTAAAACTTATTGCATTTCACTTAAATTTAGAGTATTGGATTTGGACATTTTGTCTAAAGGAACTAATATTTTGTAAAAACAAAATTGATTCACAAAAACCCAGTTGAATTTCAACTCTAGAGTAAACCCGATAAACCTAGGGAAGAAAACAATTGATTAATCTAAATAATTCATGTCTTTTATGCTGTAACAAAGTAACTAATTTTTCTGTGTATAAAAGCTAAAATTATTTACAAACCATTGCTGTTCGTTGGACTATTTAAATTCATGACAGTCGTCTGTCGTGTATTTTTTTTTTATAGATTTGCATGTTACAATTGAACCAACAAATCTAGAATTCATATTATCATATATTAAGTATAGAAGTCAGCTGTTGTGTGTCCCTTAGAGATGAGATCAGCTGTTAAACAGTGGAGTCTCGGACCACAGAGTGTTTATTTAACGGAGGATAGAGGATGTATATAACGAAGACCCGAGGATATATATATATATATATATATTTGACAGATATAGATGGATGGACAATAAAATTACAAGTTATATA